GGAGCCATTAGCATTTATTCCAGCTTTTGAATTTCATTTTCAAGCAATTTGAAAAATCATTATCACACGTACTTGAACTGTTCATTAATTGCTAAGCCCTTAAGGAATTAGTGTGAGGTAGAAAGTGAGAAACAGCATCTGTGAAACACGGCTGCGTGGAGACTTGAGCACTGCCCTCTGCTGGGATCACTTCTGGGAGTGTCCTCGAGAATAGCTTTACATTTCCCTCTGGGACACACTGAAGATGTTTACTCCCGATCTTTATACTTCACCACTAGGACAGGTGAGAGCATCTGACTAAAATTTACGGAGCAAAAGACAGCTTTTATCTCCACTGAATACATCCCTCATTACAGCAGAGTAATCAAAACTCCTTTTCCAAATCAGAAAAACAATTCCAGTTAATATAACAGCTAAATTTAAAAAAAAAAAAAAAAAAAAAAAGAGAGAGAGAAAATCAGCATACTAGACTAGCCAACAAAAAGTTGAATGGACACCTTTAACATGATGCACACTTGTTTTAGCTGCAAATCACTCAAAAATAGCTTAGCTAAATCTCATTATAAAAACTAGTATTTGAATTTTATTAAAAACAACATTTAAAAATATTAATATGGTAAATTACAAAGAGATATTGGTTTTGTTTTCATCTGAACAAGTGAGTACATTTTAAAAAATATTATACTATGTATAAAGCCCAAGAAACTCAGCAGTGTTATCAGTGCCCTAAAGCTATGAACTTTAATTGTATTACTTGTACATAAATAGCTCCTTTTCCGTTTTCAAAACTAATAATATATATGCCAAACTATTCTTTGGATGCTGTCAAACACATGCAGTTGGTTCTCTCCATAATCCTGTTCTACATGGCATTTTCAACCTAAGCCTTACTCCAGGCTCTTAATGTCGGAGAAAACACAGGAGAGAAAACTGAGCTTTCCAAGGAAGATCCTAGGAGTGGCAAGAAAGAAGGTGTACAAGGCATTTCAAATATTCCTGCCCGCAGAGACACAGCTGCAAATTCCCTGCAGACACACGAGCACGTTCAAACTGTGGATAAACTGGCGGGCAGGGAGAGGCTCTTACCGTCGATAGCTCATCGCATCCCAGCAAATTGTAGTAATCCTCCAGGTCCTCCGGCTTGCAGTTCAGGATCGCATCCATCGGCACCGGTCCAGCGGGCTTCTTCCAGCCGGCGGGGAGGCTGCGGAACACAGCGTCAAGTCAGAGCTCCCACAGGAACCTGGAGAAGCCCAGGGCAACAGGCAGCTCGCAGTGCGGAGAGCTCCGTGCGGCGCTTTTGAGCGCTGGCAGCTGACACCACGGAGCCGGGCAGTTCCTGCTGCCATTGGCCCCGCACGGCGCCAGCCCGCCCGCACACAGCCGCTCTCGGCGCTGCTCCCTGGGATTTGTAGTTGCCAGAGTCATTCCAACGTTAAACCGGGACTCCCGTCCAGACCGCACAGTTCTGGACACTGGAATGCGGCAGAGATTTCTCTCTCGCCACTGCAAACCAGGCACACACCGAGAGGTGCCCTGCACCTGAGCCATTTTCTGTTCAATTTTTATTTACAACTTTGCCACCATCTTTGACCAGATGATTGGATGGGTAATTATAGATGAGAGTAAGAATTACTTCCAAAATAACAATTACAGGGTGCAAACTTTGGAGAATAAAGCAACAACCTTGCCAAAGTCTGTCAGAGGTCTGCCAGTCAGCTCAACACAAAGGGAGCAACCTTCACTCTCTGAAGGTTCCCTTGGGTGCACAGACACTGCTCCTCAAACCAAACAGCAACGGTACACCACTCAGTCTGACCAGCTAAAACTACCTGAGGACATGAAACACTCACTGTCTACTACCAAATTCAGCACTCTTTCTCATGCCAAATTACTTTCAGACTGTGTATTGAAGGTCTGCTCTGTGTGCAAAACATGTTCTTTGTGAAACTCGTTTTACATTGAGGTGAAATACCTTAATTTTAAACAATGATTAATGACCAAGGTTTCAGCCCAACAGAGACTCTGGACACATTTGGTGTCACCCATGATCTGCTGATTTCAAAAGATTACTTCCTAACCTAACCACATGCTGATGCCCTGGAGCCTTAGGAGTTCTGGTTTTACATTTCCCACCCCTGCAAGCGCTCTGCAACCCAAGATGTTTCATGTCATTAACTCCTGATGTTTCCTTAGCAGTTGCAAATAGATGCTGTGAGTGGTTATACAGTTCTAGATGCAGTGATCTTGCAGGAGAACGGATGCCCAGGATGTTACCAAGGCTGGAACAGGCCATGTGTGAATCAATTAAGGACCCAGTGACCATTCAGAGCTATTTATGAATAACGAATACATAATTTTTGCATCCACAGGCACTTTAATATCTGCATTAATAATGTTCTGCAATGACATTTATTATTAATCTTCCACCATTTTCCCTTCAAGGTTGCATTGTCTGAAATTTTCTACTTTTACTGCATGTTCTGATCGCCTACTAAGATTATACAATATACAAAGTAACTAAAAGCAATAATATTAAAAGAAAAAGCACAATCCTTGGTGAAACCATTTAAATCTGATAGAAAACTCTATCAACATACTTCTCTGAATAAATAAAAAAACCAGAAATTTTTTTCCAACGTCACTACAAGTGGAAGAATTAGCAATTGCAAATCTTTCCATCACCATTCATAACTCAATAACCAGAAAAGTACGGGAAAGAAAGGAAAGTCTTTTAATAACAGAACATGTAAATATTTAAATAGGTTGTACTCTGTGGGAGGACAAAAAACAAACAGCTGTCCCTCCTCCCAACAGCATTCCTGACATCCCTTTCTCTTCCAAGTATTCCTTGTGTATTTGTGTAAGGTGAAAGGGAAGCTCTTTAACCCTTTTCCCCTCCAGCTTCCAATGGCTGAGCTGGTGGGCAGCTGCAGCTCCAAGGGCTGCACTGCAGTGACAAACTGGGAGCTGGCAGCCGTGTGCTCCCAGGGAATGTGCTCCCCAGAGCCCCAGCCTTGCCGTACTCCTCTGGTCAGGCCACACAGCCCAGGGCTCTGACCCAAACTGCAGCAGTGCCCCCGCCCCTCGAGATCCCCGGTGCCCCTCGAGATCCCGGGTGCCTGGGACACAAAGGCTCCCACAGCACAGCTGCAGGCTGGTGTGTGGAGAACACAAAATGCACCGAACAGTAACTCAGCCTTTCACTGCTCCCATTGACTTCTGAGGGGCAGCTCCCAAAGCATCATCAAAAAGCAGAGCAAGAGCAGCCATGCGTATTACACAAAAAAATGACAAAAGATTAGCCCCAGGACATAAAGTTCGTTTAAAAGGGAATTGCAGCACAGGAGATGGCACAGACTATTGCCTACACATGCCGTGGTGAGTGTTGCTCAGGATGTACAAACTGTTCTGGAAGTGAGGAAATCTCATATTTGTTCTCTGTACCCAGCCACCAACAAAAGGTGTCTCTCAGTCCTAGCACATACTGACAATTCTGTTTGTTAAGAGCCCAGAGCAAATCTAAATTCTGTTTCAATATCACAGGACATTTACCAACAATTTGGAAAAATCATAAATAGCCCTTTAAATAAATCTCTATTTGAATTCATTCCTGTAAAATACATCAAATATTACAGGACTAGTTCTTCTCAACTGACTTGAGGGGTTTTGCTTCCTGAGAGCAGAGAACACGTTTATGAGAAGTCCAAGGCACAATATAACTCATTTGAGCTTTGCATGGTGTGCCCCATCCTTGTCCTCACACAAGCTCAGAGCTGCAGAAACAGGAGAGGACCCAAGCACTGCCAAACTGACCTCCCACAAGAAGGCAACTCCATCACCAATGTGGAGAAATGTCTTCAGGATCAGAGGAGGCTTTAGGATCCCTGAGTCACTCCCCCACCGACACCTTCACGGAAAGCCTCAGATCCTACATCTGCATCACTTGGATTATTTCTTCCTTAGAACTGTCTTCACAAAAATAACCACCAAACCAATCTTAAAACCCCACCCCCCCCTTTATATGCTGACAAAAGCATCTTGCACGTGCTTTTTAAGAAATATGGATCTTGCCTCAACTTCCAGAAGCAAGAAGGAAAAAGAACACTTCCATACAAAGTTGCATAGAATAATAAAAACTTTCGGATCTGGTTACTCTGCAGCTTGTTTTGAGAAGCAGGTGGTGGGAAAAACCAGTATGTACATATTTTTCAGGGTTGTTAATATCTGAAAGAACCAGAAAAAAAAACCCAAATCTCCCTCCCCCTATAAAGACCACCTATAAAGTTAATTATCCACAAATTAATCCCTTTGAAGCCATTTGTATCAAATTTTTTAATCCCAAGTTTTTTTTTTAAAGCTGTTTGTTATCAAGGCCTGCAAGGTGGAAATTCTACCTTGTCTAACCTGGGTCTTGCCATTAAATTTAGGAATTCCATTGCATTAAATTCACTAATACTATTCCGCAAATAGCTCGTGATGTTGAACAGTAACAACAAACCAGTATTTAAATTTCTACCCACGAAGTTTAGACCAAAATTCTAGGTTGGTGGCAATCCTGGGAAAAAGGCTGAGTTCTATCCAGTCCAAACTCCCAGGAGGAAAGAAACTAAACCATGGAAAGCCCACGCGTGGCACCTCGTGCTCGCTGTGCAGGGATGGCCCCGCTGCAGCGCCCCGGTGGGGCACGAAGGATTGCTCCCACCCTGCACAGAACACGAGATCCCTGGGAAACCAGGGAGAACAACCGCGCACACCCTGCAGAGCACGGGGAACACAAATGGATTTGGGGCCGTCATTCGAACCAATCCCAACTCTCGCCGCTTACCATCAGGTCTCTCCTACACCATGCAGGCTCCATTCCTAAAGCAGCAGTGGTTTAGACAGGTGCTGACCCCCTAAAAAAGATCCTGCATCCCGAGCTCAAGTACCGCGATGCAGAATCCCGGGGGGGCCAATGTGTTATCCCGGAGGATACGGGGCGATACCTTACAGCACCCCTGCCAAGGGCCGGCGGTGCGGGCGCGCTCCCTGGGCAGGCCGGGGCCGTGCCCTGCGCACACCCTCACCGGCAGCTGCGTGTGCTCAGAGGCCGCTCCGAGCCCCGGCCCCGCTCTGCGCCCGGGAACGGGCTCAGGGGCAGACCTGGCGGGCGGGTTCCCCCTGGCCGGGTGCCGCAAGCCCAGCAAAGGGCGCTGCAGCGGGGAGCTCGCTCCCGGCAAGGGGCACGGTCTGTGCGACACCCTGACGGAGAGCGAGCCCCGAGGGCTTCTCACGCGGCCGGCGAGGAGCGAACAGCGGAGCCGCCATTTGCCGGGAGCCGCCGACCGCGGAGTGCAGAGGAACCGCGCGCGGTCATTGCTCGGCAGGGGCGGGCTGTGAGCGGCACACGGCAGGGCCGGGAGCGGAAGGGAAGGCAGGGCACGGGGCAGGGCAGGGCAGGGCACCGGGCCGGGCAGGTCGCGCCCCGCGGGGCTCCCTCGGGCTCCTCGCGCCGCCATCGCGGGGCCGGCGGAGGGAGGGGGCGTGAGGCGGCACGAGCGCCACGTGACGCCGGCAGCGCCCCCGGTCACGTGCTCCGGTTTGTTGTTGCCCGGTCACGTGCCGCGGTCACGTGCGGCGGCGCTGCCCGCGGCGGGCNCCGGGCGGAGCCGCCTCCGCGGCGGGACCAGGGGGAGGGCGCGGAGGCGGCGCCCGGCGAAGACGCGGCGGAGGCGGCCCCGGGCTGCGGGCGGGCGCAGTGTTCGAACGGGGCGGCCGCGGTGCCGGCCCCGCATCCCGGTGAGGACCGACCCCTCCCTTCTCCCCCCCTCCCCTCCTCCGCGGCTCCCTCCTCCCCGCATCGGCCCGGCCCCGGGTGTCGCACGGGCCGCGGTGAGCGCGGGCGCTGCGGCCCCGGCCCCGCGCACGGAGCGAACGCCCGGGCGCTGCAGCCGCGGCTCCGCCGGCCCGGGCGGCTCCGGCCCGCCCCGGCAAGGCCTCCTCCCTTGGGCCGCACGGGGACAGCGGCTCGGCTCGCAGCCCTGAAAACATTTTTTCTGCTCTGTTGCTGGCAAGTTATTAAAAATGAAAAATTATAAGTCCGGTTTCATTTTCATAATCTCTGCTGTGTTAATTATTTTATTTCTGATCCTTGGAAACTTGCGCATAGGCTCAGGAGCAGCAGTCTTGACTAGTTCTTTAAAGAAATGCAAGTGACAGTCTTGGCTAAGGTTTGAGTTACTGCAGCACAAAACTAATCTATCATCTTTCTAAAAAGTTTCAGATCATATTTGAAGTGTACTGGTGGGCAGCATCACTGTGAAAGTACCTCACAGTACAAACTGATGAGGTTTGAGTTGTGTTTTGTTGGAGTTGTTAATGTTGGCTTTTTTTTTTTTAAAGCAGTGTTTCGGAAAGATTTATTAAAATGTATCAGACACTGCATTCTGCCAGTAGTCTTTACATTTTATCTTGGAATGCAGTTAAAGATACTTTAACTATATAGTAAAACTCTACAGAAACTTTTTGTCTATGCAAAAGCAGTTCAAAAGGAACAGGTATAGAATAAACCTGGAAAACTCAGTATTGAAGAGCTCCATTGGAGCAGCTCAGAGCAAAGCCAGTGATCTCTACCAGCGCCTTACACGAAGCCTTTTGCTCAGGTCCCTCCCAGGCGTGTTTTGCTGTGGCTGGTTGAGTTCTGGGCAGCATTACCCCCTCTGGTCCTTTGAGGAACACTCAGGCAGTGTTACGTTTAAACTGTTACTTTATCCTGCTTGTATCTGTCACTGTTTCCTAAATCCCAGGCTCTGTGGCCTGTGTGTGAGGAGCCTTTCACAATGTAAGCTTTGCTCCTTGATACAGAAGCCATAAAGGTCCCTCAGGTTCAACTTGCACCTCGCAGTGACTGATGCATACTGATGCACTTTTTCCTTCTCCAAAATTCTCCATATGTTCACTGACTTCATGCATAACGAGATGGAACTCGTTGGATGCTGTAAATAAATAGATTAATAGGAAATAGTAATGTCTGTGAGCACCTGTGGCCTCAGAAGAACAAGACAGCAAGAACCAACAACAAGTTTCTGTCATTGATCTCTTTCTTTTCTAATCAAAAATAAAGTATTTATGCCAACAAGGAGAAGGACTTGAAGAAGAACACAACCTCTGAATAAAAAGTGATGGCGTTTTGTGGTGTTCTTTATTTGAGAATCAAGTGGAATAACAGCTAAAATAGTGCAGAACTTCAGTTTTTCAGATAAGAGACTGAGAACTACTGTAGTGATTCTTTGCTTTACATAGCATGACTGAAATTTGTCCTTTGTTCATATCTTAGATTTTCAACAACTGAATCTACAGGTGCTGAGGCTATTTCTAATAAAGCCAGTAAAAAAGGTTGAGTAGTCTAAGTTCTAGTAAGCTGCTCAGGTTGGAATTTAGATTTCCCCTTCAGGGTGAGCTCAGTAACACAAGTGCCTCGTTCTGCCCTGGGCTCGTTCACCGAGGCTGGGGTGGACTTAGATTGAGTTACTCTGGCTTAAGGCTGAGCCCAGGTGACTCTGGCACCAGACCCAGCTGCAGGGCCAAATGCATGAGAGAAACTTAGTGAAGGTGGTTCAGGGGAGCATGTTCTGTGTCACAACTGAATATCATAAACTGTGTATGTGGTCAGCAAATATAGCTGAGCTGCAAGGTAACATCCTCACCAAATCCTGTGAATTCCTTGTAGCAAATGTGCACTTGTGGTTTTCTTTCAAAATGCTGTTAAAATGCTCTTAAAACCTAGTCAAAGACCTGTCTGCAATGGTGACATGTTTTCATTTCACCCAGTTTTTCAGTGAGCTGAATGCAGTGAGAATTGTAAGGGAAAGACGTTTTTGTTTATACTTTTAAAACATTGGGATTTTTTCTGTGGTGAAATCTCCATAATGCCCAACACTTCAGAGAGTGAGATTTCACCAAGGTCAGCATGCAGTCTCCTGAAGCCCAGCACTGAGGTAGCAAACCCTGCAGTAAATCTACCAACAGCTTGGAAGTATATCTATAAATGTCAAGAAAAATAGACATTTTCTGTGCCTAAGTGACAAAACTGCTGATTGAGCATGTGATTTTTGGTTTTGTGATCTGTTTGAAGCTACACTGTGCCCTTGGGCTGGAGTGTAACCCCCTGGTCGTGCTGTCTTGCAGATAACTTCCTCCTCAGCGATGAAATCATAGCCAATGGCTTTCACTCCTGTGACAGTGATGAAGAAGACAGAGCCTCACATGCAAGTTCCAGCGACTGGACCCCAAGACCACGTATAGGTAGAAGCCTGGAGCATGTTCTTGGGTGCTCTTTGCCTTTGAACAGTCACTTAATCCTCCCCAGTATTCAAATTATTTTTCCTGTTGCAAAAATATTGGCAATTAGTGCTTCTGAACAGCTTAGAGGTGTTGGCTGTACTCTGTATGTTATTTAAGGAGTTTAAAAATGAACCCCTTTAAACTTGCTGTATTTTGATTAAGATTGTCAATGTCTTACTTTTTTCTTGAATAGAAATTCTACCACAATCTCTATTAAAAGCATACACACAGGTTCACTAAATTAGACTAATTTATGGCATATTTCTATAGCCTGCCTACTTAGTATTAATTCTTTAAGGAACAAGAAGGTGTGATTTTAGGACAGTGAGCCCTCATCTCGAGTGTTTCTGGAAAGATTGATTTAATGGCTTGAGGAGGTAATGTCTGAAATAATTCATGTTAGATGACCAAAAAAACCAACAAAAATCCATGGATTTCTGGGCTCTATGTGTCTGTTTAGAGTGATGGTTTATAATACCACTGGAAAGTATATGTGTGTTTGTTTTTTGTTTGTTTTCAGCTTATTCCTGTAAATACCAAATGTACAGTACAGATGGAGACACACTGTGAAAATCCTGTTGCACCTCTAAAAGAGGTTAAGTTTGCTGTGAGCTGGGATTTTTACTTGACTGACTTTCTATGAAATCCTTCGTGGGTTAACATAAAATAATGATAAATAAAATACCCAGCTCTCACTTCATAGTTTAGACCAAAATACAGGGGGTTTGAAGAATGGAGCATTAAATTGGATTAAGGAAACTGTACTAGCAAGCATTAATAAATAGAACAATAACCATGATCATCTGCAGTACCTGACTCTGATTTAAATATCTGTATTTTAAATTTTTCTTAGGTCCCTACACTTTTGTTCAGCAGCATCTCATGTTGGGTACAGACCCACGGACGATTCTGAAGGACCTGCTGCCAGAAACTATCCCCCCTCCTGAACTGGATGACATGACTCTGTGGCAAATCGTGATCAACATCCTTTCAGAGCCACCAAAAAGGAAGAAGAGGAAAGATATTAACAGCATTGATGATGCTGTGAAACTTTTGCAAGAGTGCAAGAAGATCATGGTCTTGACTGGAGCCGGGGTAGGTATTGCTGCAATGTCAGTGTGAAAATGTGGAGCCAGGTTGGTTTAGTACTTCAGTACAGCATGCAGGGATGGGAGCAAGTCACTGTGCTGGGGGGAAGAGTCCAGCCCACTGCAGCTCCCACTGGAAATTACTCCAACTCTCTTCTCAGAACAAAATATTGTTAGACATAGAAACGTGTAAACAGCTGCTTCCATGCACAACAGTTACAGAATAAGAACACATTACCTGTCCAGATCTTTTTCTATCCTAGTCTTCAGACAAAAGGGATGGCTTTTTTAATCAAAATCTCAGCAGATCTCTTAAAATCTTAAAATGGAGCTTGAGGGACTAGAAGAATAGGATTTGAAAAGAGTTGGGGGACAGAGGAGGAGGATGATCATAAGGACAGTTTGATCAGATTTCAGCAGACTGAATGTTCCTTTCAGCACATGGTGCTCTGTGATGGTGATAAGGTTACTCACTGTTTGACTGAAGAACATTTCTGAACTGCTGCACATTTGCAGCTCTGTACCTGTGCACCAGATCATTTCTTGCTTCTGTTGTTCACACACAGATGGTGTGACACGATTCAGAGCAGATGAGTAATTAAAATTATCTTTTAGAAGAGCACTGCTACTCCCAGTCTTGCTCTTTCCATACTTGCATACACCTGTTTCCCCTCCTCTTCCCATGCTATTTTGGGGTAGTCTTGATTTCAGTCCTTATTGACTACTACAATTCTTTGATAAGCAATGTTTATCAATAAACAACTTTTATCAAAAGAGGTTTATTCTTCAGAAGTAAGAATTTATTTTTTTTAAAGCAAGACTATTCTGTTAGTCTGTTAGCCTGTTAAAAAAAAAAAAATATCAACCACCATATCTAAGCCTGAGTTGGCAGATCAGTGAACAATTAATAATTCAATTTAATGCAGTAATGCTCTAAATTTTTGTTCACATCTTACAAAGCTTCCAGTGGCAAAAGCAAGTTCTGGTATCCTGTTATTACCTGTGCAGATTGTACTAAAGGGATTTTTGTCCATTTGTCACATTTTGTTTCTGTGCTGTTTCTCCTGATTGTGATTTGGGAATTGTTATATTGGACCAAAAAAAAAAAAAAGGAAAAGAAAAATAAATACAGACAACCCAGACTGGTTTTGTTCTTAATGTTTCTGAGCACTGAGCATACAGAAATGTGGTTTCCCAGAGCAACACTTTATAGTCCAGTATGTAGTTTCACTTATTTCAGATTGCAAAAATATATTTCAGGTGTCAGTGTCTTGTGGAATACCTGACTTTAGATCCAGAGATGGCATCTATGCACGCCTGGCTGTAGACTTCCCAGACCTTCCAGATCCTCAAGCAATGTTTGATATAGAATACTTCAGAAAGGATCCCAGGCCGTTTTTTAAGTTTGCAAAGGTATGGTTTTCCAACAGTTCTTGTCTTGGTCAGTAAAGACAGATGACAATAATAAAATGCATAACTCAGATAAAAACTAAAAACTGTTCAGCAATATTCTCTCTCTTTTTAAAGCTTATTTTACTGTTCCTGTTGCAAGTTCATTATATATATATATATATAAAATAAAAAAAAAGATATATATAAAAAAATATTTCACATGGTTGAAAAGATCTCCATGATATTAAACAGTATCAAAAGCAGTGATTATGTTTCTTAGACAAGAAGGAATTGTAGAAACTGTAGACATACGGAGAAACAAAAAAAAACCAACAAACCAAAAAAAACCAAAAAACAAAACCCCAACCCCAATTGCATTTAGTCTTCAGTTTCCTTGGGACCAAAAAAAATCAAACCCAAGATATAAGAATTTCTACAGGACCAGTAAGGACTTGTGAAAATCAATCACCACTGCTTGTGCTCATTCCTTCTTCCATTTGCTCACAATTCATACTACTGCTCTGTCCTGTTACAAAGATTGGAAAAGGAAACCCAATGCATTCTTCTTCTGCTTGGCTTTCTCTGAAAGCCTCCTATCCAGATAGTAACAAATTTTGATGCTCATTAGTATACTCGCTTCCTTTGGGTTTTAATATTAAAAAACCATCACCCCCACAAACAAAAACCCACCCCATATTAAAAAACACCACAGCAAGCAAAAAAATCAACTTACTTGAAACCTGTCTCCACACAGGTTTTACCAGAAAAGTCCAAATCTAATTTAGCTGCTGCTTTTTACTTTTCTGCTTTTTCACTCCTCCTCCTCCTTTTCTGTCCATCAGAATACATGTTTCTAGTAACAGATATTGAGGTCACTTGATACTTAACAAAGGAGAGAAAGCTTTCCTATTTCATAATTCTCAAAACCAGAAAAAGATCTAAACGTTGCTTTTATGCTGTGTAAAACCAAAGTCCCAGCTTGCACGGAGCAGTTCCTCCTGCCTTGCTGAGGAGCTGAGCAGTGGGAAAAGGAGCTGGATGCAGGGCAGTGGCCAAGGGCACAGGGAGAGACCAGGGTAAGGGGCTCTGCCTCTGTGCCCAGCTCAGGTGAAGACTGTATCCACTTCCACTGTCTAATGTGCTTCTGAATTCCCTAGGAAATCTACCCAGGCCAGTTCCAGCCATCTCTCTGTCACAAGTTCATCGCTTTGATGGATAAAGAAGGAAAACTCCTTCGCAACTACACTCAGAACATAGACACACTGGAACAGGTGGCAGGAATCCAGAGGATAATACAGTGTCATGGTTAGTGGGTTCAGTTTCACTTATTTTCCCTGTGGGAATTCTTACTGTGCATGTGACAAGGTAATGGATGTTGGAATTAAAACTTTCTTTCCTTGAATTCCTGTCTCTTGCCAACAAATATTCTGATTTTTACATGCTGAAGTTTTGTTTTAGACAGCTTACATTTAAATCAGAAATGTTTCAAGTAGAAATAACTTCTTTCAGGAACTGAGCTTGATGAAGGGTCTGTGTATCAGTGAAGGTCCACACCCTGTTGGCACAAACTTAGACTTTAACCTCTAAAATGCATTACTTCTGTGTGACAACATAACATGGAAACCAGTCTTGCCATAGGTCCCTGTCACTGCCCATCAGTGGAATGGGAGTCTGGGTGTTATTTGACTCTTTATTTAGGTTATATTCTACTGAAATCCTAAAATATCCTGACACTTCAGTGACTCCACCTCATGTATAAAACATTGAGGATTAATCACCAGTTCAGCTGAACTGAAGATCATCTTGTTACACCTTCAGTGTCATACAGATTCTGTAATTATGAGGCCTAATTAAGTGGAATTGCTTTAATTGCTTGATATGCTTTCCATTTCCAAGGACTTGCATATGTCAAACCGAAAGTCCAAGGATTAATTTTCATTAAAAGTATTCAGAAAATTAGTTCTTAAATGCATGTTTGGATCATTTAGTGAACTTCAGATATATAAATCATCTAAAAGCAGCACTGGCATGTTTGTAAGGCCCATCCATCTAACTGCACCTTTGCCAGGGGCCAAACTCATGGGGTTTCCATACCTACAAAGCTTAGCTCAGTGCCAGGTCCGTGGGCTTTGATTGTCCAGGCAGAGCAAGCACAGTGCTCTGAGTGGGGCCCAAGCAGCACACAGCTGCATCTGCCAGGCAGCTCCCCAGCCCCAGTGCTGGTTTCCTCCTGTGCTTACTGTGTCACACGTTTTCTTTTGGTTGGCATTTCATCTGAGGCATTTATCACAAATCTCTTACCTGGCTGGGTTTTTGCCCATCACTGCTGTGCTCAAGCTCCCCATTTTTCCAGTTGCACACTGCAGGGATGGCACCACAGACCATCTTTAGTGTATGTCCTGTATAAGGTGATTCTGAATGACATAGATTCTTTAAAAGCAAGTGCACTTGGAGATTTTGAGGCCTTTGGAAATGAGCAAAGATTGTTTTGAGCCCATCAAGCTTTATCTGACCTACAGCTGCTGCTCTTTAACAAATGGTTGTTACCTAATGATGGTGGCTGGAGAGAAACCAAAACTCTTCTGTGGGGGTTCACACTTCTGTACTTATTCTACTTTTTTCTGTGGATGGGGAAATGGCAAGTTAATCATGAGCAGTTAACAAAGAACCTTGCAGTGATTTGGGGAGCTCTTATGTGAACCTTCAGACCCATCTGTCACTGCAGACCTGCAGTACAGTTCCTCCTATGAGAACTGTGGTGTCTGAGATGCATTCTGCTGTATTTAAAATGGCTCTTGCATTCAACCAGTGCATCTGGAATTAGATTGTATTCCTTGCCACTGCTGGAGCTGAGTGAGCAGAGGCTATGGCCTGCTGTCTGGGAATGCATGGGCACCAAACTTCTGCTGGTGAAAAATAATTCACATAACAGAGTTGCAGAGTACAGCAAATGCCTCTGAGTTGGGTCTGCGAGCCTGACAGATGTGTCCCTAATGAAGCTCTGAATTATTACTATCAGCTAATTAAAGTGAGCAAATAATTGTCATACCTCCCGTAGTCCTTGGAATCCCTCACGCTGGGGGAGCTGCAGTGCTGTGCAAGGTTTCAGAGGCTGTGCAGTTTGCAGGCCTGCAGTGATCAGCAGAGCTGAGCTGCCAGTTGCTCATAAATTATCTGCTCCAGGTTTTTCTGTGCTTTCACTCTCTTTGTCTTACCCAGAAACAATACCCTGAAAGCCTATTGTCTTTACTAATGCATTTCCTTAGTTATTGTGTGCTGTGGTGTGTGGAGTTGCTGTGGGCTCCTGTGCTGCTGATGCTGTTTGCAGCACCACTGCTGTGTAACGAGAAGGGCAGTTTCTGTTCTCTGCTCCTTGTCTGTGCCTGCACAGCTCAGGGCAGTGAGAGGACACAGAATCATTTGTGTTGACATGCATGTGGTATATGGCTACTCCTAAAATAAGACTTCTGCTGACTAACACCTAGAACAACAACTTCTAGTATTACAAGGATCTCCTCTTAATTTTACATTACCTTTTTTAATGCCTGATTTCTGTAGCACTGCAACATAACAGCCTTTTTGTCAAAACAGCTTGGGCACAAGACCAAATCTGAATGACTAAAAATCCTGATGCTACCATACGGGTTTTTCCCCTCAGGTTCCTTTGCAACAGCTTCCTGCCTGATCTGTAAATACAAAGTTGATTGTGAAGTTGTTCGAGGAGATATTTTCAATCAGGTAAAAAATCTACTTTAACTCACTGCAGCTTTCTAATAAGTAATTCTCCCAAAAACACCCCAAACCAAACCCTGAACCATCACACTGGGATTACTTACAGGATCTGCTTTTAAAAGCCTCCTTTTCTCTGCATGTATTTCCAAGATGTGCCTCTCTGTATTTCAGTATTTCCTTTGGTATTTAAAAGTATACTCAAATACCGTACTGCAAAAATTAGGTAATGGCAAAAATCAGAACAGAACCTTAAGAGTCCATTTTTAATGGCTCCTCTGATAAAAAGCAGAGGTTAAATGGTAAGCAGAAAGTTGGATTTATACTTGGTTTACATCGATCTGAATTTGGAGTCACACTGAGAAAGCATTCTTAGCCTTTTGTAACACTGACTGCTCTTAGAGCATTTTCCTGTATTAAAAATGTGTTTCAAAGAGCAGCTGATACATGGAGAAATTGCTAACCACAGATCAGGCTAGAGGAAGGATCAAATGGGGTGTTGGTGTTCTAGGACTCCTGAACTGCTCCATGTTCCAAACTCCCCATGTCTGGGTGTCAAGTGACCTGGGACCAAGGCAGGAGTTGGTTCTGCTCTGCCAGAGCAGATGAACCTTTGACTTGGAGAGACCCTCTCTGCCCTTGCTCTTCTTCCCCTTCTTTTGAAGGAACAGAGGTGATGACTCTGTGATCAAAAAGATATTGTTTATGCCAATGAAAGGGAACTTTTCTGCAGGCTCATTGATTTTTTTGATAAATGCTTCAGAGTCCACAGCTGCAACTTTAGATGAGAACCATGGAAGGGATGTAAATCCTTCAGGCATTACATGTGAAATGGAATCTTTCAGAAGAGATGTTTGAGATAAACCTTTGAGAAATGTGAATCTCATAAGCCTGAAGCCTTGTAACACTGAATTACCAAATGTGAAATTTGGTTTACTCTGCTATTAAGAATATTTTTTTAAGAACATCCTACAGATATTTTGTGCTCCTTTACCTCCAGAGCCAGCTAGCTGGAGTTAGATTTTCTCTTTCTAATATACAAAGATCTGAGAGAAAAGTCCAAGACTCATTCTAGCCATCTGCTCCATTTTGGGGAATCCTTTAGCTGGTTTCCTTTGACTGTGGAATTATTGGGTGCTTTCTTGTTTGGGTACAGGGTGAAGGTTTTCATCACACCAGTTCCTAGCTCTTGTGCCAAATTGCTTCTTATCCCACGAGGCATCCATCCAAAATTTTCTTTGTTCAAACACTTTAATTTTTGGGAAAAATCATTTGACACTAGAGGAAGGCCTTCTACTTGTGATATTTTCTAATTTGGAGAGTATTGTCTTCTGTCCCACTGCAGGTATCCGTAAAATTAGTTATTTCATTTAAATTTTCAACATTCTATATTATTTTTTCTGGAGCTGTTGTCTGTACAGTAGGGACTTCTTATGCATTTAATTGCCACTTTTCATGTATTTTTCTATTTCAATAGGTAATATACATATCTTTACACCTTTATAGCTCTAATTTGTAGCTTGTGATGGTTTCTATATCATTGCAGCTCCTTGGATTTATTGTGAAGTGTTATATTTTAACACTACAGCTAAAAAGACTTGAACTGTTAGAAGGAAATTGCTCAGTATTGTCTGTACATCCGTCACTCACCTTCTTGCTTTTCTTCTCTCTTAAAAAGTCTTTAGATAAGAAAGAGTTGAAAGAGGTCCCAAAGATCAGAAAATTCCCTGGCTCAGGAAAAAAGGGCATCTACTTCTCCACAAACCTAACTAGTGACCACTTCTGTTAGTGAAGCAGGATTCTCTATTTCTGGAGGAATTAGACAAGTTTAAAATGGAGACCAAGCAAGTTCTGGCCTCTGTTCTTGTCCTGTATGCTCTTAGCCAGCTGCCTGCTACAGTGCCCTGTAGCTTTGTGTGTGCAGCACATGTAACCTTTTGGAGGAGAGGAGAAACTCCAGGTAAAGCTCCACAAAAGACTCTTGGATTAGGACAGGGGTTGTATGAGATCCTCAACGGGAACCTGATAGTGAAATTTCAATTTTTGTTCCAATTAAACTATGAAAAGTCTGTTCCTGTCAAATGGGGGGCTGTGCTCTGTTGGTGTTGAGCATGACTCCTGGACTTTGGCTTGTGCTATAGACCTGCCTGGTTTCTCCCTCTGAATTCCTGCTGTAGCTTTATTTCCCTGAGCCGGCGGCAGTAAGAAGTGTAGTTGCCTGTACATCCACAGAACAATGAAATGAGGAAATACCACTGAAACTTCCCTGTCTCTGCCAAAATAAGTGCCTGTGAGACAGGTGTTTTCAGAGGCCAGCCCTGCAGGGCAGTGACAGGGGCTGCAGTGACACAGGAGTGTCTCAGAGGCCAGCCCTGCAGGGCAGTGACACAGTGGGTGTCTCAGAGGCCAGCCCTGCAGGACTGTAGTGACAGGCTGTTGTGTGCAGGTGGTGCCCCGCTGTCCCCGCTGCCCCCCCGAGGAGCCGCTGGCCATCATGAAGCCGGACATTGTGTTCTTTGGGGAGAACCTGCCTGAGCAGTTCCACCGTGCCATGAAGTATGACAAAAATGAAGTGGATCTTCTCATTGTCATTGGGTCTTCACTCAAAGTAAGACCAGTAGCATTGATCCCAAGTAAGTGACTGTCTCTGGTAATACTTTCTTTAAAAAAATTGCATCAGAAGTGGAATTCTCAGTTAAGAAACTCCAGGCTCTTAGAAATACCTTTGTCTCAATTCAGTGAGCACCACTAAATTGTAAGATGAGAGCTGCTTGCATATGTAAAGCTGAAATGCAAAATTGAGAAAGTAATAAATTCTAAGTGCTTTTTCTACACTCCAGGTGGATCTCAAGATAATTAAATGATTATCTGAAAAACTACTCTCTTAAAGCTGAATGACTCTGTTCTAAGATTGGTGTCTCTCCCTGCTTGCAATATCCTTTAGAAAGGCTTGAAGGCTTTAGAAAGGAAGCATCTCAAAAGCAGTATATTCCTCATGTGCACTTATGTACATAAAACAAATGCACAAAACCAACATAATTTGAAGATATTACAGTACTAATTTTAATCTTTTTAATACTACTGTATTTTTAATATTACTGTAGCCAGTATTTCTGTGCATATGTTTCCCAGTGATTAAGGAATGCTTTTAACTGGAAAAAATGGAGGGCAAAATCCCATCTAAGCAGGCTGCAGTAGCCACAGCACCTCAAACCACCATTGTAAAATGGGGACTGGCTTGCCTTCTTCCTGACCTGACTGGTTTTGTCTTGTTGCAAGTGAAGGCATGAAGAGAAGCCTGAGCTTTCTCAGTAGGTTTCTGCTGAAAGTAAAACCCAAGTGACTACCTTTGAATTCTCTTTTCCATCTGTAGGTTCCATCCCCCATGAAGTGCCTCAGATCTTAATTAATAGGGAACCTTTGCCTCATCTACACTTCGACGTGGAGCTTCTTGGAGACTGTGATGTTATTATTAATGAATTGTGTCAGAGGTTGGGTAGTGAATACACAAAACTTTGCTACAACTCGGTAAAACTTTCAGAGATCACAGAAAAGCCTCCACGGCCGCACAAGGAGCTCGAAGCGCTCTCGGCTGAGCTCCCACCAACCCCTCTGAATATTTCAGAAGGCTCCAGCTCACCAGAAAGGATAAGCCCACCCCACACTGCAGTGGTGTCAGAACACCCACCTGAATGTAAGGTAGAAAACTGTGAGCCTGCCTCTGAAACTAAAGGGACCTGCTCAGAGGAGACGCTTCAGGACACACAGGTGTCATCAGAAAATCCTGAAAATCCTGCTAGTGAGCTAATGAACTCTGAAACAATGAAGGAAAATGGATCTAACGATGGAGAAAATAAAGAAAAGAGTGAAATATTGAAGAAGTGTTGGGTAAACAGATCTGCAAAAGAACAGATTAGCAAAAGGCTGGATGGTAAGTGTTAATGCTTTTCAGTATTTTGCTTCCTTTTGGCTGACACATTTATGCTGGACTTACTTTGAAGTGATAAATAAGTTACTCTTGAGGCAATCAGTGGGTTTTGGTGGCTATTTTTGTTCAGACAAGTGTCTACATAACTCTCATTGAACGATTTATTTCTTTTGGAAAAGCCAGTAGGAAATATTTTTTGTATTTCATAATAGGTTTAAAAATCTGTGATTACATCCTCACCTAAAAGATTAAAGTTTAGGAGGCAGAAGGTAGGTATCAAAAAATAAATCCCTTCATAAGATTTTCAAGTGCATTTTCAGAAAGGTTAGTTTGATCTTGAGGGGTTCAGAAACTGGTCACAGTAGAGCATGATTTGGAATTGCAGTAGAGCTGGAAGACAAAGTCATGACAGGACTTAAAGATCTCACAGCTGGAGTGAGGCATGTTTTTAAGGAAAGTTGAGACTTTCCAAGGAAGCCCTCCAGTGTGCAGTCCTCTAACTGATGTAAGGAGTCAGGAATTAAAGTGCAATTTTCTAAAGTAAAGGCTGGGTTTAGACTTTGTCTGATACTCCATGCAGGGGCTCCTGTTCTGTCACAGATAGAGGAAGTTTAGCTGGGAAAGTGTTCCCATAAAACAGCTGCTGAACAATCAGCATAAATTCTCTTTGATGTCAGAGGGAGGGGGAGGAGGAACACTGAGCTTTCCAGTGAAACATTTCTTTTGCCCTTCATAATAAATACACATACATGGGCATAAATGCATTTTCCTGTCATCTCATTTGTCACTTGAGAGTCACTGTTGAAAACAGATCAATGCAGGTACCTTCCAACCACAAGATCTTGCACCAGTCATTCACTTCAGCATGTCACTGACTGCTTACATTCTGTTCCAGGTACTCAGTATCTGTTTTTGCCACCCAATCGCTATATCTTCCACGGTGCTGAGGTTTACTCGGATTCTGAAGACGATATCATATCTTCCAGCTCTTGTGGCAGCAGCAGTGAGAGCGGCTCGTGCCGCAGCCAGAGCTTAGATGTGGAGGATGAGAGTGAGATGGAGGAGTTTTACAATGGCATAGAGGATGAGGATGCTCCCGAGCGGGAAGAGGAGCCTGGATTCGGGGAGGATGGAGCCGAGCAGGAGGAATTGGCAGCTGAGGAATCAGCTGAGACAAACGAAGCTGCAGGGACGGAACATGCGAGCAACGCGCTGTGAAATGATCGCTGACTGGTTACAGGAACTTCCCACCAGCATTAGGAGCTTTGGCATGTCAGAATGAATGTTTACGTCTGAATTTAGAGCAACAAAACCATAAGGATGTAGTGTTTATAAATAACTAAAACAGATTTTCATGCTTAGTTTTTTACCTTTTTCAATAAAAATCTATTACTGCGCACTCAACACTAATCTTTTTTTTAAGGTACTAGGATTATCTAAACAACTGTCACTCTGTTCACTTTTAAGTTCATCTGTCTGATCAGGCATCCATGTATATAATGCATATTTTTGCTTAATAAATTTCAGCTTATATTATTTTTAAACAGTTTTGAAAAAGCCATTGGAATGTTAAACTAATATAAAGGGAACAGCTAATTTAGACCAAAGAATGGTATTTTCACACCTCTTGCTTTGTAACACTTTGGTTTATTTAAAATCTTCTTACGCTTCTGCTAAACCTTTCATTCACGCCTAGTCTGTCATTAAACACTGGCATTTTCTAAGACCTACTGTGGCAGCTAATTTTTTTTGCTTTACCAGTTCCTTTGTATGTTTGAGACATACTTAATTGCAAGCAGATAGCGAGATGGAAACAAGACAGCAGCACTTGAGGAATCCAATGGTTTTTAGCTTGATCAAGAAGTGCTGTGAAAATGCTTAGGTTGCTGAGTGTATGACTTCCTGTGGACACGAAGTGTGGTTGACATTGGCTCCTTAGCAGTTAGAATCCTGCAATTTAAACAGAAAGGATCCCCCAGTCAGTCAGAGTCTGTCACGCTGTATCCAGAGGGCACGTCCAGAGCAGCTGCTTTCTAAACAGCATTTGAGGAATTGCCAAGGCTCCAGTGTGGAAGCAGAGTTGAGAAGTGTTCCTCCCAGCTGTGAGAAGGCACAGAAATGAAGCTCTTCCTCTGTGCTCACTGATGCACCAGGCCCAGGAGAGACTGACTCCAGTGGTGGGAGCCTCCGTTTGCGCTGCCAAGGGGCTCCGTGTGGATTAAGGACTGCTGGCCTGAGGTCCTGACTGAGCTGGGAAACCTCCTCAGCTGCCAGCTCCACCCTGGACACGAAAGCAAAGCGGCTTCTCCCACTCTGCCGTCTCAAGTGCGAGGCTGCCTTAAAACTGGATGTTGGAAATGTTCAAGTGCAGATTGTTTCCAAGCCTTTAGAACTATTTTGTACAATTGCACAGTGCAGTAGTCAGTGAAACAGCATTTTTCTATAAACCACTTTTTCAACATCGGCCCAAATGAACTCAACAATGTAGATTATTCATATACTTTGCTTTAATATTTATTATATTTTGGGAGATGTATAGTAGCTGTTCTTTGAACATAATACAATAATAAATATTTAAGAACAGCTTCCTGCATTCATCGGGAAATGTTGGCATGTTGTCTCATTGTCCAAATTTAACACAGCTCTTATTTGGCTACATTAAAGAATGCAATATGTTTAGTTTTCACTTGCATGTCACAATGTATTAGTTTGTGCTATAGGAGATATTTTAAATTGAAATACTTTGTTTTAAATTATTTTTACAGTGAGGATTGGTTTCTGCTCTTTTATATTGTATATAGTGTCTTTTATGTAATCTACTGGCATATGTTTTGTAGAAGACTGTTTAAAATGACTGGCTATCTTCCTGCAACTTTTGAAATACAAAACCAGTGTTTTATACTTGTACACTCTGTTCTAAAGTCTATTAAAATTGTCATTTGATTTCTGGTTTCCATTAATTTCTAGCTATGCCTTACAAATTTACCAGAGATGCCCTATAAAGTCAAGGTACACCCTGCCTAATGAAAGGCATTACATGTGAAATGGCTTTTTCCACCTGCCCCTGGCAAAGCCTGCATGAAGCTGCCCTGAATTGTTCTGGCTTTATCCCTTGCTTCCCTGGGGCTGCAGCTGCCCTGAGCACACCCCAGACAGCAACAGATCTCTTCCAGTGGTCCTCAAGGGCCAGGGCCCAGTTCAATTCGCTTCCCACTGTGTAACAGCTCACTGTGTGCATGATTCCTCTGTACTTCTGAACCACCACCACCTCCTCTCAAACAGAAATTGATTTGTATTGGAAGGAAAAAGCCCAGAGGTGATAAAACCCACACGCATGAGGCACAAAGTATTAAAACCAGTTAGACTGAACACACAAGATGTTTTTCTATCAATTACTTACTACTCTGAATGACTTGAAAACATTTTTTCTCTTGAATGAACAGCTGCACCTTTTTCTGCACTTAGATGAAGAAGTTCTGCATTTTGTTCTTTCTTGTGTCTTTGATAATATTTGAACAGAAGAGGAACCCCAGACCATCTCTTACTCCTCCATTTCACACACTGCCCTTTCCCTACAGCAAGGTGTTGTATTTAACACAGTGATGAGGCAAACCATGGGCACGAGAAAACATTTTCAATCACAGCTTTTTGTTATTCCAAAGTACTCAGCACCTTGCATGAAATTTGGAAGCATAGCTCAGAGCATGTCGAGGTCCAGCTGTAATTTGTACAATCTCAAAAGAGGAGATCACTTATTTTTTCTGATAATTTACATAAATAATCCATGAAAGCATCTTAGCCCTTAGTATTTATATTGAATAGAGATGCCCTGAAAAAAAGGTGAAGCACAAGCATTTGTTTGCCATTCCCCAGCCACCTTCCAGCCCTTTCTGGTACATTAGACACAATAATGACCTTGCGAAAGTGTTTAAAGAAGCACATATTTAAACATCTTCTCATAATTTATTTTTAATGGCCATGTCTTTTCTATGGATCTGGCTTGAATTCAGTACATTTTTAATTAGTGTTTCTGATTATGGAAAAGATAATATTTTTAAATGCATGACAATAAAGGGACAGACAACATTCAGTTAGGAGGGGCTATAGGAGCACAAAAGTCTAATGAAAGCAGCATCCAGAATCAAACTGAAAAAACCAGAAAAGGAAGACCCGGGGGTGTACCTCAAGCTCAGTAATCGATGCTTAAATACTGAACCAGAACAGCCAAACTGAAAAGCAGTTGCATTTATTTGCATGACACACTTATCTACAAAGTGAGTGAAGAATAAAACCCAGTACAAAATGCTGAATTTCAGGCTAAAACAAGGGGCCATGTCTAGGTAACAATGGTGCACCAAGCTAGCTGTAAATCCTTGACAAGTCATGGAGTTGTACCTTGAGTTACTCTCTGCTAGGCAGTTTCTACACAGGCTGTTAGGACTCAATAGGAAAATGACAGTAATAATAATAATCCTAATAATGGTGCACCAAGGGAAAAGAGCTGCTGGTTACTGCCCCAGCATGAGGCCCAAGGCTCAGAAAAGCAAAGGCACTGAAGTAAAGCACCATTCACCAACTGTGCAGCTCTCTGCTGTGGGACCTTGGAAAGGAGCTGGGAAAACACAAGTGGGACAGGGCTCCCAGAGCTCCTGGAGGCCCATTTCCCTCTTCTTACACCCTTCTGGCAGCACCTGGGCTAGCTGCAGGTGGAGAGGGTTTGTGCCCCAGATTAACCCAGCACAGGAGTTCTCAGGAGCAGCAGGGTCAGAGCAGCTCCAGGAGCTGAGCTTCAGCTCTCCACAGCAGCCCTGGAAACAACAGCCCAGAAAACCCCAGCCAGGCACACCCAGAGCCTCCGCCTGTCCTGCCTGGGGCACGGGGGAAGCAGGTACACCACCACAGGTCTTTAAAGGACTGTTCCTTAAGGGACACAACCCCAAGTGCTCTCTGACCACGGCACTGTTATTTTTACTCTCACAGCAAGAGAAACTGTTTCCCTGCAAACCCCACTGCCATGTTCCCTGGAGTGACAGCCCAGGCTCCTGCGAGCAGCTCCTGCACCAGGATCACCTGGGGCAGAGCCCTGCACAAAGCAAACATGCACCAACTACAGATTAAGTTATTTTGAAAGCCACAAAGAAACACAAATTGAAAGTCCTTAGAAACAAAACACAAACCCCTTTCGGTGGGATTTACCTGCCTGGCCATGGGTTTTTAACTCTACAATTTTTACTCACCACCCTTTCCAATGGCAGAGGCCTGCTCCCAAGGCCAAGCCTTGGCTGAGGGGGACCCTCCTTCCCCCAGCAGGTGGGTGCCTACAGGGAGCCCGGGATCCTACAGAAGCCCCCGACACTGGGCACCACAGAGCCCACCCCAGAAATGCTGAATGCTGTGGAGAATCGGCCTTAGGCCCCGTGGAGCTTCACTACCCTCCTGCTTCAGACTAAGTGAGCATTCCCTTCTGGGCACCGACAGAAATCCCCGCAGGGCCCAACCTCTGCATTAACACCTCAGGGCTATCCCGGCTCCTTCCTCACCTAAAGATATTGCAGGGCTTCCTTACCTCAATTACCCTCCCCCTGCTCACTCCCGAGCTGGTACTGGCACCTCCTCAGGACACCCTGCCGGCACAGCCTCACTGCTCGGGATGCTGCACCCAGGAGCAGCTGCACACACAGAGCCTCTGTGCAGGATCAGGCCACAAAAAATTACAGTGGTTTTACCTCTGAAATTCTTCAAAGACATGGCAGATACAATTTCCACTGGAAGCTGGTGTTCAGCTACTGTTTGCCAAGTCTGCTCCTCCTCCCGGACACGCGGCTGTATTTGCTCAGAAAAGGGAAGGAACCTTGACTTCTGCAATCCACTCCAACTGAAGGCTTTGTGTAACATTCATCCTTTGTTTCCTCGTGTAATGAGGCACATGGAGGGCAGCAGTGAGCACCTGCAGACATTCACTGCACAGGTGAGGATTCATGACCAGCCTGGAGCATTGGTGAGATAAAGATCCCCACCAGCACTGTACACACCAGCTACACTGAGGTTACTAACTTGGTACTTCCTATGTAGAATGAGATTCTCAAACCTCATTTTCCTAATCCGAAATCGATATGCCTTTGGCAGGAGAAAAATAATAGTACCAAGTGCTGTCCTAGCTAATGTAAGGGGGCTCTGATGACACTCGTGGCACCTGCCACACCTTCTTTTGTAGAGTCAATAGCTCTGTTCAAACCCAGGGGATATGCAGGAACTCAGACTCTTTAGAATAAGGTATTTCAGCACAGTGTGCCTGTAATTGCCAGTGCTTCCCCCCACCCCCAGCTCCTTGTGGTTACAAGATAACACATCCTTCTCATTCAACACTTCTGCAGAACGGGCAGGCAAAGGTTTGCAGTTACAAAGTTTTAGCATTCTCACAGAAAGGAAGTCAGTGTGAGAGGTAGTAGCACAGAGAAAAATTATGTGTATAGACACAAACTGGCTCCCTTCCCCAAGAAAATAAAATAACCTGAGGACTCAGTCACATGGTGAGGGAACTCCAGTGTACAGAAATGATGGCTGGTGGAGCTCCTTCATTGATTAATTGTGCACAGATTAATTAACAGAGCAGGCAAACAGTCAAGGGCATTTCCTGGGCCTCTAAGGAGCTGTATTAATCTGGTAACAGCAGGTGACAGAAGGTGCTCTGCACCTTTCAAGGTCTAGCTAAGGTTTTTGAAGACATTGCTTCAATAAAGTCATTGACCAACACAAACAAGAACAGTAGATTGAAGGACCAAAACAGTAGGCTGATAATTAGTGCACCCAAACCACTCTGACCTGGCAAATTAGAAATATTCACTTGGTAAGCAATGGGACCCTGACTCTTGTCAGGGGAAACAAATATTTTGTTTTTCCTCTTCTATTTTCTCCCCTTCAAAAATTGAGAAAGGTAATTCCTCATAGTATATACCAGCACATAGCTCTGGCTGCACACAGAAAGTCAACACAGCCACTCTTGAGGGGTTCAACTCTCTACCAGTGCTGAAAACTGTACTATTAAATGAAAGCTTTTATCTACATTTATCTTAATTGCAGAACCTCATCTGCCTTTAAGGAGCTCTCTTTTATAGTGATTTACATTTGATTACATTAAGCTTCATTTATTATCAAGTTCATTCCAGCAGAGAGCAGTGCAATGAATTAAAACCCTCTTCAGAGTAGTTTATAAACATTGTTAAAGGGAATACCAAGGCTCGAAGCTCTGTGCTCAGTAACAACATCATTAATAGCAACTCCCACAAAGTGCCAAAGGAGACAAAACATAATGCTCAAGCAGGGCTCACTGCTTTAACAGTTCTACACGTGTTCTTACCTTTGCCTTGGAAAATGAGGGACAAACATCTGCTGTACCTGCAGTTCAAAAAGCCTGAGTAGCTCTGCCGTGCAAATTCCATCTCCATCCCTGTACTAATGTGACAGGTGCAATAAATCCAGTCCATGGCTGCACTGCTCTGGCAATAGCAAGTCTCCTTCAGCAGTCATGATGACAAGTTTGACATGCAACAGGTCTCCTCCAGTGAGAATTCTGAATCTTTATCAAATGCTAATTTAATTATCAAATAAAAATACTTTAAAAATTAATTATTGTAAAAAGCTCACACTGAAGCCCAAACTCATTGCCCAGTTGTTTGCATTAGCCTTTCCAACAGTGGTGCCCAAGGTTTCCTGAGTAACTGAAGGTTTCAGAAAAAAAAAACTCTAGGCTTTCTTCCCTAACATCACAGCTATTTCAGCTACACATAAAATGGGTTTTTTTCCCCTTTCTTACATGCTGCACAGCATCAACTATTGTATACAAAATGATAGTAGATCCAAGTAACAGACTTGGGCACAACTTCAGCAGAGCTGCTTCCCAGGGCTGCCAAGTGAACCAAGGGCAACACAAGCACTGCACAAAG